AAACAAAATTCGAACAATGTTACACACGACAACGTGCATCGCGATTTCCCATTTAACGTGCGAAACGTAGCTTAGGGTACATACGCAACGTGTTATCTGGCTGGTGGCTTCTTATCGAGAGGCCGGAGGCGTGATCGCGCCAATACTTCGCAATCTCTGTAACCTCTCGCGACATCGTAAATAAACGTCAACGCCAGCTCGACGTGAGCACAGTCACGCGATAGAGAGAAACGCGGACAATAAGGCCTCGAGGAGTCTCGAACCCGCTCGAATTTCGTCTACGCGACGCTCGGTTAGGATAAACGTCGCGGATGAACGACAAAAGGTCCTTTCAATTGTGGGTGGGGATTTCGAGAGAATATTCCGAGGGGTTGTTACCGAAGCAAAGAGGGAGACGTGCAGGTTTAATTGATGAAAAGGGTTGAATTAATCGTTCGGGGATGTGTCAGGGGTACTTAGGTTGATTGATTCTTTTTCCACCTCGCGACGCGAACGAGAACGCCTCAGATTGGTTCAGGTTTGTTTTTAGCTTTTTGCGAGATTGCCGTGAGATAGAGGCAGGGTGTGATTGTACTTTTTACCGAGAGGAAGGGAGAGTAAGTTTGCTGTGTATAATTTTGTTTCGATTTTTATAGGCTGAAAGTTGTATGATTGAATTCTTGCTCGAGGAGAGGTTGCACCAGAGTTAATTCTTTTGCAATTCTATAGGTTGGTAATAAATAAAAAAACATTTAAACACGTACGTATTTAGGAGTACTTTTTTTTTATTTTATTGAAGATTGACGCGAGGTAATGTGAAGTTAGAGATTCTAGTTTTAAATAAGAAGCGAAGAATAAGTTTTAGTAGATTTTTGTTGATACAATTTTGTTGAAATTCTACATGCTAAACGCGGGGAAATATTTCATCTTAAAATTCTGTCTTTGTTTAGCTGTTTGATTTGCTGCGAGATTGCCGTGTGATAAGGCAGGGTGTGATTGTACTTTTTACCGAGAGGAAGGGAGAGTAAGTTTGCTGTGTATAATTTTGTTTCGATTTTTATAGGCTGAAAGTTGTATGATTGAATTCTTGCTCGAGGAGAGGTTGCACGAGAGTTAATTCTTTTGCAATTCTATAGGTTGGTAATAAATAAAAAAACATTTAAACACGTACGTATTTAGGAGTACTTTTTTTTTATTTTATTGAAGATTGACGCGAGGTAATGTGAAGTTAGAGATTGTAGTTTTAAATAAGAAGGGAAGAATAAGTTTTAGTAGATTTCTGTTGATACAATTTTGTTGAAATTCTACATGCTAAACGCGGGGAAATATTTCATCTTAAAATTATGTTTTTGTTTAGCTGTTTGATTTGCTGCGAGATTGCCGTGAGATAAGACAGGGCGTGATTGTACTTTTTACCGAGAGGAAGGGAGAGTAAGTTTGCTGTGTATAATTTTGTTTGGACTTTTATAGGCTGAAAGTTGTATGATTGAATTCTTGCTCGAGGAGAGGTTGCACCAGAGTTAATTCTTTTGCAATTCTATAGGTTGGTAATAAATAAAAAAACATTTAAACACGTACGTATTTAGGAGTACTTTTTTTTTATTTTATTGAAGATTGACGCGAGGTAATGTGAAGTTAGAGATTGTAGTTTTAAATAAGAAGGGAAGAATAAGTTTTAGTAGATTTCTGTTGATACAATTTTGTTGAAATTCTACATGCTAAACGCGGGGAAATATTTCATCTTAAAATTCTGTCTTTGTTTAGCTGTTTGATTTGCTGCGAGATTGCCGTG